CGAAAACCAACCAACGACGTACATCGGGAACGTGTCGATGCGGGGCCAGCCACTCCAAGAGTCAGTGTTGCCATTGTTTACAAGCTGTTTGCGGTCGGTTTCCACATGTGCTCCCATCATTCTGGTTTTAATCCCTGTTTTCTAGTGCTTGTAAAACCCCTAAATAAGCCACATGGACCCCAAGAAAGCTTCTAGGCCAAGTCCTTTGGTAAAGGTGTGAGAAACAATAGAATTCAAGGGAAAAAATTTGTAGAAAAATACGAAAGCGGTGGTGGTAGAGGGTGGTAGTGATGGTGGTAGTGATGGTGTAGGGGTGGTAGTGATGGTGGTAGTGGGTGGTACTGGTTGTGATGGCAGTAGAGGGTGGTAGTAATGATGGTAGAGGGTGGTACTGGTTGTGATGGTGGTGAGGGTGGTATTGGTTGTGATGGTGGTAGAGGTGTGGTACTGGTTGTGATGGTGGTAGAAAGTGGTAGTGATGGTGGTAGAGGGTGGTAGTGATGGTGGTAGAGGGTGGTCCAGTGGCAAGCTGGTCCTAGTGGCATTAAGAAACCAAGAAGGGAGGTAACCCCAACAAAGGACTTGGTACCTGAAGTCTTTATGGAAGGGGATTCTCCTTCCAAGCAACAGACAATCCTGAATCTCCCCTGCTGCTGGCACATCACTCATCAACAACTCCACAATAAAGGTAAGTGGCATTTAATTATTGTTTATTTTGCATGTCCCATTCCTTTCCACATAAGAAAATGTATATTTCATGTAATTTTATTTTCAGACTTTGGAATGTCAGGAACGGATTAATTCTATTTTCATTATTTCTTATGGGGAAAATTAACTCGACCCATGGCAATTTCGACCAACGGCAAGCCCTCTGGAACGGATTAATGCGACTAGCCGAGGATTCGAACCCATGTCGTTTTGGCTCGCCTCATAGTGAGCGAAAATTCACATGACACTAACCCATAGGGCCACGCAATCCTTTGTGGTCTTGTGCGTTAGAGCGTCATGTGATTTTCACTCACCATGAGGCGGGCCAAAACGACATGGGTTCTAATCCTCGGATAGTCGCATTGTTGTTATTGATTAAATACCCTCATTCGTGGTTACAATGATATATATATATATATATTAAAATATTATATATATATATATATATATATATATATTATATATATATATATTATATATTTTATATATCTTCTGTTCACAAGGTCGCGCTTGACATGTACACCAACATTTACTTGTAGTGATATTCACATCAGTTATTAGGAATGCGACCCAATAATTTTGCAGCATGTTTACAAAGGTTGTTTTCAGATTTTCTGGACTCAAATAAATGCTGGGAAACCATTTGAAGAGCAGCCACCTCTACGTGGTGAGTTCTGAGTGTTGTGATTGACCGTAGGTAGTCACATTATATAGCTGAGAACTACTCACAGTGTATGTATTGAATGTGTCTGGATACAATATACTGTACTTACATGGAATCAAATCTGGTTAAATGTCATTACTCAGGCTTTGTGATTCATAAGGTTTTAGTGCTGAAAGGGAAGATGACATGATAAGAAATCCACTTTTTGGCACAGAGAAGAGAACATTAATATATAGGTGTCATATCCTCTCTTCCCAGTGATGTGCACAAGGTAACATAGTCCAACCATCGTATGGTGAGCAGCGCATACCTATATAATGCCAGGTACTTGTTTAATGTACCCATTTATGGATCTCACTGTTATTACCTCTCTAATGTATTGCAGAATAGTTAATTAGGGAAATACCGGATGACTCTTTTGACCCTGGAAAGAAAATACCTATCGCAATAGTCTCAAATTAAATTAAATGTTCCACTGACAGCATGAATTAGTGAAATCTGCCTCTGGTTACTCATCATCATTATATTCATGGGGAAACTCTAAAAAAAAATTGCTGTAAGAGATTTTTTCGCTATACTGTCAAAATATAATGTATCTTCCTTACAAATGGTAAGTTTGAATTATCTTAAATATCCATCTTTCTTCCGGTGTGATGGAGATAACTTTCCAAGATGCCATGAAAACAAGGTATATATTTTGAAAGCAAAACTTGAATATCTAGATCATTTTATGGTCGTGGTTTCCAAGAGCGACATGGTAGCCTCTGGTAACATAAGTCACTGCTTTCACTCAAATTAATTATTGATGAACCATTACTTGATTTAAATAATATTACTATAATTGTTATGAATCTTTTAATAAATTTGTTATAATTTTATCATTACAAATTAATATTAATTTTATTAATAAAGGTGAACATTCTTGGTACATATTGTCTTTTTGATACTTATTAAAGAATATAGTTTTTACACTGTTTATGATCTGGTAGTCTTGAAATCTAAACCCATCCTGGGATGTGAACCCTTGTATTATCTGTTAAAAAACCCTTTTGAATTTTATATATCATGATCAAGTGAAATACTCAAAACTCAACGATCGAAAAATTATTTTATTATTATTATTATTATTATTATTATTTTATTTATTACTACTACTACTATTATTATTATTATTATTATTACTACTATTATTATTATTATTATTATTATTATTATTATTATTATTATTATTATTAGTAGTAGAAAGTAGTAGTAGTATTTGTAGTAGTTATTTGTAGTAGTAGCAGCATTAAATTCGTGGATAAGTGCAAAACCCGTAATAAAATAGTATGAAATTATATTTGTTCTAAGGAAAAGAATGGTATTCGTTTTGAAGGATATTGATTCGAGGTGTAAAAGGTACCGTTGGTTCCCAGGTCCAATTTTTCAATCGATTTCGAATACATTCAACAGTTGATTTCTTGAAAAAATTCTTAACTGACTTTACTCAAGGAGTAACTCTAAAACCAGTACGGGTCATCCGGGGAATGGGAGAAATTCAGGTTCACGGGCAAGAAACAGAGGGAACAAGAATCCTCACAGTTTACCTGGAGTTTACTGGAGAGAGTTCCCGGGGGGTCAACGCCCCCGCGGCCGGTCTGAGACCAGGCCTCCTGGTGGATCAGAGCCTGATCAACCAGGCTGTTGCTGCTGGCTGCACGCAAACCAACATACGAGCCACAGCCGGCTGATCCGGAACTGACTTTAAGGTGCTTGTCCAGTGCCAGCTTGAAGACTGCCAGGGGTTGTTGGGGAATCCCCCTTATGTGTGTGGGAGGCAGTTGAACGTCTCGGGCCCCTGACACTTATTGTATGGTCCCCTTAAGTGTATGAAAAACCCTGCTTTTCATTGGGGGGATGGTGCATCGTCTGCCCCCCAAGTCTTTTTTCTTTCGTGTGGGTGATTTTCGTGTGCAAGTTCGGTACTAGTCCCTAGGATTTTCCAGGTGTATATAATCATGTATCTCTCCCTCCCGCGTTCCAGGAAAACAGGTTTAGGAACCTCAAGCGCTCCCAATAATTGAGGTGTTTTATCTCTGTTATGCGCGCCGTTTAAAGTTCTCTGTACATTTTCTAGGTCGGCAATTTCACCTGCCTTGAAAGGTGCTGTTAGTGTGCAGCAATATTCCAGCCTAGATAGAACAAGTGACCTGAAGAGTGTCATCATGGGCTTGGCCTCCCTAGTTTTGAAGGTTCTCATTATCCATCCTGTCATTTTTCTAGCAGATGCGATTGATACAATGTTATGGTCCTTGAAGGTGAGATCCTCCGACATGATCACTCCCAGTCTTTTGACCGTTGGTGTTTCGCTCTATTTTGTGGCCAGAATTTGTTTTGTACTCTGAGAAAATTTAATTTCCTCATGTTTTACCATATCTGAGTAATTGAAATTTTCACGTTGACTTCATATTGTTTTTTTGCAGCCCACTGAAAGATTGGTTGATGTCTGCCTGGAGCTTTGCAGTTGTCTGCAATGGAAGACACTGTCATGCAGATTCGGGTGTCATCTGCAAAGGAAGACACGGTGCTGTGGCTGACATTCCTTGTCTATGTCGGATATAAGGATGAGGAACAAGATGGGAGCGAGTACTGTGCTTGTGGAACAGAGCTTTTTCACCCTAGCTGCCTCGGACTTTACTCTGTTGACGACTACTCTCTGTGTTCTGTTAGTGAGAAAATTTTAGATCCATCGACCGACTTTTCCTGTTATTCCTTTAGCACGCATTTTGTGCGTATTACGCCATGGTCACACTTGTCGAAGGCTTTTGCAAAGTCTGTATATATTACATCTGCATTCTTTTTGTCTTTCTAGTGCTTTTAGGCCTTGTCGTAGTGGTCCAATAGTTGAGACAGACAGGAGCGACCTGTTCTAAACCCAGTTGCCCTGGGTTTTGTGTAACTGATGGGTTTCTAGATGCGTGGTGATCTTGCTTCTTAGGACCCTTTCAAAGATTTTTATGATATGGGATGTTAGTGCTATTGGTCTGTAGTTCTTTACTGTTGCTTTACTGCCCCCTTTGTGGAGTGGGGCTATGTCTGTTGTTTTTAGTAACTGTGGGACGACCCCCGTGTCCATGCTCCCTCTCCATAGGATGGAAAAGGCTCGTGATAGGGGCTTATTGCAGTTCTTGATGAACACAGAGTTCCATGAGTCTGGCCCTGGGGCAGAGTGCATGGGTAGCGAGTGATTCTCGTTAAAAAAAATAAAATCACTCCAGTCAGTGAAAATGATGTTCGAGATAATAATTGAAAATCAGCATTATTTTCTGGTATTCATATCTTCTAAATAACCTTTTTTTATTACAAAAAAAATTATTTCATCTAAAAATCTGAATAAAGCCATTTCTTTTGCAAATTCGTAGTGTGAAAAATTTCATGTCATTTTATATATATATATTTTTAACTTTATTTCAAATTTGCATTGATCATCCACAATTATCATGAAGAGAAATGAAAAAAAGGGATAATAAAAGTGTAAAAGCACATTTTAGGTTTTTTATTCCAATAATAGTGACTAGTGAGGAAGATGGTCCCGGACCTGGTCCTGACGAGGTGACGTCCTACTTCCCGAAACCACCTGAACGAGTGGAGTAGATGCCACAGTGAGTCACATTATAATCCATCTTCTAGTTCATGTTACGTATTAAACGTTTATGGTCTTGTTCCTGTTACTTCTAAAACATTTATGTTCTTATTCATGTTACTTATAAACCATTTACGTTATTGTTCATGTTACTTATAAAACAGTTATGTTCTTCATGATACTTATCAAATATTTGTGGTCTTCATGTTACTTATAAAACACTTATGTTCTTCATGTTACTTATAAAACATGTTCTTGTTCATGCTACTTATAAAACATTTAAAAATATATGTAAAGACACTAAGCAAGATGGACAAATCCACTATACCCACCGAAGCCAAGTCCACCTAGACCACCTTTGCCAAATCCGCCGTAACCATTTCCAAATCCACCGTATCCACCCCCTTTTCCAAATCCAAGTTTTCCGCCGAGGCCAAATCCTCCAGCGCTTCCTGTAAGTATATAAATTATCCATAACTTCTAATGGTAACATATCTGTAACATAAATAAATGGGCACGATATTGTTGCAGTCGTTGTACATGAATCAAAAGGAATTTGTATTGGCTTACCATAACTCTTGCTCAGCACGAAAGTGTGTCCTCCCTGACCACCTAGGGTAGAATGATGACAAAATTATTGTCTTGTTCATACATGCGTCAGAAAAACTGTAGTGATATATATCATAAATCTGAATACATTGTCCCAAGACTTTTTACTTACCAAAACCGCCACCATATCCTCCACCAAGGCCACCATAACCACCTAAACCTTTCAAACCCCCGCCGTATCCACCAAGTCCACCAAGACCCAAACCAAGTGGCAGAAAACCGCCACCAAGTAGTCCAGCGTAGCAAACACCAGCCATCACCACCACCAACATCACTGACAAGGAACGCTGAAAACAGAATGTGTTCTCAGTGTTACAAAAAATCATTCAATGCATTGTTGTGGCAACTGTTGTAAAACTTCTCACTAAGTATATCCTCGTACCATGGCTGTAGTAGTCGAGTGCTTGAGGAGCTGGAGACTGATGGTGAGGGTGTGTGTTCAGGACTTTATATAGGACAAGTGATTCCTCACACTCACCGTAACCTTCAGGACTTGGACGTCGTAGGTGCAGCCATGACTTTGGTTTAAGCCAGTAAAGAATGCAGTATATTGCACGTGGAAGGAATTTGGAAATGTTATGAATATTAATGACTTGTGAAAGCCAACATACAAGAATCATCATATTGTTGCCACCTGCCAATTGAGATCTATAATCCTGGGAGCTTTGTTACGAGTCGTTTCGAGTTTATTACGATGTTGTTACGAGGCTGTTACGAAGTTCTTAAATGGTTGTTATGAAGTTATTACGAAGCTCTTACAAGGTAATTACGAGGTTTCTTCTAGAGGGAAAATCGTCTAGCAATAAAAGGTCTTTTTCCGCTATACTTGACCTTTTCCACCAATTACCTACTCACAGCAATACTAACATACTTTTTTTGTCATCTTGAGGGACAAAAAATAAAAGAAGATTTCGAGGTGGGATAAACTACGTTTGCTTATTAAAAATATTATATCAGTTTTTCACTATTTAATATGCTTCTTATTTATTAAAGATTCGCCGGTATTCTCCCGGCCCGGGCCTTTTCCAAGTGGTGGCCCGGCCTTGGCTCCCTCTTTAGGGAGTGTCTGAGACCTAAGTCTCCCATGGGAGGAGGCACAAGTACCTCCTCATCTTTGGGACCAACTGTCCCCAGGCCTAGCCACAAGCTAGGCCTCTCTGGTCTGCCATCCCCGCCCCAAGGGGGCTAATGGGAATGACAGTCTTATGAGCTAAAGGCTCGGGCTCAGGCACCTACCCTACCCTAGAAGGGTTAGGCATGGTGTCGATTAATATGCTTCATATAATAATTCATTTTTTTTATTTTTTTTTTATTTTTTTTTTTTTTTGCAATATGTGAAAAAGTTAATATTAAATTTTTGGGAAAAACAAAAAAACATTTTCTACATCCATCTTAGTACATAAAAATATAATTCTTTATTTTTCAGTAAGACAGAAAACCTACAACACTGTAATATTGCGAAAAAGAATAAAAATTAAGAGCTGTTGAACATAAGCAAAATTATAATACGTTTATTCTCTACACTGTTGTACCATATTGCGGTATGTCTGAGCTGGAAGTTTTAACATACTCTAAAAGCCACCACCATAATGAATTTAGCATTCCAAAACGATAATACTAATGATAAATAGAATAATAATAAAATTATTTAACACCATCATAAACACCTAAAAGTCTCTACCTACAGTTACCTATCACAACGGGTGGGAAGGGCAGTGCACAGGGTATAGACCAGGGGGGGTTCTTTCTCTCATCGTGTACATTTTTCTGAGAGATTACTTAAATAACTATGCTAGGAAATAAAATATTTTTGAAAAGGTTACCGTGCAGCCTTAATGACTGACCCTCGTGAAGACGGTAGGCTTTAAACCCCATTAACTAATTTTAACCAGGGCAGTGCCAGCACTCTGACATAAAGGTGGGGATGCCGCAGTCGGAGAGTTATCTATGATGTCAGCATACATTTGGCTTAAATAACAACGTTCTTCTTACCGAATAAGGCAAGCGAAAATTTGTGCTTGCAATAATTTCACAAAAATCATTCTGAACCTAGCGAAAAAAAATATATTTCATTTTGTTTATTTGCAAATTTATCTAAACTTATTTCATTGTCTTTGTTTGTAAACTTACTTAAAACATATTAAGTTGGATTAGGCTAAATTAAATTGTGTTTGTTATAATAAGGTTAGGTAAGTTTTTTAAGGTTCTTTTGGTACAAAATTATTAATTTTTACATTAACACAAATGAAAAAAAAAACATCTTTAAACATATAAGTGAAAAATTTAGAAATGACTTAATTTTAAATGAGTTCTTGCTAATTGATCAATTTTACCTATTCGACACAACATATATACATATACACTCACACAGTCTGTCCACAAGGTCACCCTTCACACGTAAACCAACATTTGCTTATAAGGATGGTAATATCAGTTATTAGGAATGCGAACCAATAATCTCGTAACATGATTACAAAAATATTTTCAGATTGGCTGGACTCAAATAAAAGTTAGGAAACAATTGGAAGAGCAGCCACCTCCACGTATTGAGTTCTGGGCACTGTGATTGACCGTAGGTAGTCAGTCATATTATATAACTGAAAACTGCTCACAATGGATATATTGCATGTGTCTGGATGCAATATACTTACATGGGATCAAATTTGGTTAAATGTCATTTTCTCAGGCTTCGTGATTCATAAGGTTCTTGTGCTGAAAGGGAAGATGATATAAGAAATCCACTTTTTAGCACAGAGAAGAGAACATTAATATATAGGTGTCATATCCTCTCTTCCCAGTGATGTGCACAAGGTAACATAGTCCAACCATCGTATGGTGAGCAGCGCATACCTATATAATGCCGGGTACTTGTTTAATGTACCCATTTATGGATCTCACTGTTATTACCTCTCTAATGTATTGCAGAATAGTTAATTAGGGAAATACCGGGTGACTCTTTTGACCCTGGAAAGAAAATATCCATCTAATAGTCTCAAATTAAATTAAGTGTTCCACTGACAGTATGAAAGAGTGAAATTCACCTCTGGCTATACATTATTATACTCATGGGGAGGCGCTACAACATTGTTCCAAGAGATTTTTGTTTGCTACACAAAACTTAAAATATGATGTAACTTCACTAGAACTTTACGGTAAGTTTGAAACTTCTTAAAAATTCATCCTTTTTTTTTCCTGAGCTGGAGATGAGCGTCCAAGATGCCGAAGGCTAACATTCTACTTCCTTTACCACACTTACTAAGTAAAATATTTCTGTATTTATTGTCCATGAATGCAGTCAAAATTAATGTAAAAGTTAAACTTGATAATCTTGATCATTTTAGGGTCGTGGTTTCCAAGAGCGACATGGTAACCTCTGGTAACACTATAAGAATGTTCAAGAAACAGAACATAAAGTCACTTCTTTCACTCAAGTAATTTTTTTTTTATTCGCCGGTATTCTCCCGGCCCGGGCCTTTTCCAATAGTGGTGACCCGGCCTTGGCTCCCTATCTGGGGAGTGTCTAGAGACCTAAGTCTCCCATGGGAGGAGATACAAGTACCTCCCTCATCTTTGGGACCAAGTGTCCCCAGGCCTAGCCACAGTCCCCGCCCTCACGGGGCTCGTAGGGAGAAGCTAGGCCTCTGGTCTGCCATCTGCCCCGCCCCACAAAGAGGCTCGTGGGGATGGCAGTCTTGTGAGCTGCAGGTGGTAGTAAGCTGCAGGTGGTAGCAAGCTGCAGGTGGTAGCAAGCTGCAGGTGGTAGCAAGCTGCAGGTGGTAGCAAGCTGCAGGTGGTAGCAAGCTGCAGGTGGTAGCAAGCTGCAGGTGGTAGCAAGCTGCAGGTGGTAGCAAGCTGCAGGTGGTAGCAAGCTGCAGGTGTTAGCAAGCTGCAGGTGGTAGCAAGCTGCAGGTGGTAGCAAGCTGCAGGTGGTAGCAAGCTGCAGGTGGTAGCAAGCTCAGGCCATTACTCAAGTAATGGTATTATTATTATTAAAGATTAGCCGGTATTCTCCGGCCCGGGCCTTTTCCAAGTGGTGGCCCGGCCTTGGCTCCCTCTTTAGGGAGTGTCTGAGACCTAAGTCTCCCATGGGAGGAGGCACAAGTACCTCCTCATCTTTGGGACCAACTGTCCCCAGGCCTAGCCACAAGCTAGGCCTCTCTGGTCTGCCATCCCCTCCCCAAGGGGGCTAATGGGAATGACAGTCTTATGAGCTAAAGGCTCGGGCTCAGGCACCTACCCTACCCTAGAAGGTCTGGGCATGGTGTCGATCAAAAGTAATGGTAACTCTACACGTCAACCTTAATTAATTATTATTAGACCATTACTTGATTAAATAATATAACTATAATTATTATGAATCTATAATCAATATTATTATTATTATTATTATTATTATTAATTATTATTATTATTATTATAATTATTATTATTATTATTATTATTATTATTATTATTATTATTATTATTATTATTACAAAGTAATGTTAATTTTATATAAAGAGTGAACATTCTTGTTACATATTGACTTTGTGACGCTTATTAATGAATATGTTTTTTTCAGTTATATATGCTATTAGTCTTGAAATCTAAACACTTCCTTCTAAAAAAATCCTTTATATTTTATATATCGTGATCAACTGAATGAGTCAATATCCAACGATCGAAAAAGTATTATCATTATTGTTTATAATTCGAGGATAAGCGCAAATCCCGTAGGTGAAACAGGAAGTAATCAGATTTGGTCTAAGGAAAATAATGGTATCCGTTCTGAAGGGTATTGATTGAGCCGTAATAGGTACCCATTGGTGCCAAGGTCAAATTTTCACCTGATTTCGAATATATATGGTTGTCGAAAAAATCTTATCTGACTTTAATCAAGGGTAACGCTAAACCAGTACGGGTCATCTGGTGAATGGGAGATACTGAGGTTCAGTGTATGAAATAGAGGGGTAAATCCAGGTCCTTGGAGCAAGAGCCCCTCAACGGCATCAAGGCGCCTCCATCCAGTGACTCGATGGAAAATAAGCAATATCACTCCAGTCCTTGAATATGATGTTCAACATATTAAATGAAAATTTCCATTGTCTCTTGGTATTCATATCTTGTAAATACCTTTTTTATTATGAAAAAATATTATTTCCTTTGCAAATTCAGAGCGCGAAATATTTCATATTTTACAGGTACTATTATAACTTTTATTTCTTACTTTCAGTGATGATCCACAATTGTCATGAACACAAGTGAAAAAAATGTGACAATAAAAGAGCAAAAGAACATTTCAGATATTTTATTCCAATAACAGTTAGGGGTGAGAAAGATGGTGCTGGACCTGGTCCTCTCGAGGTGACGTCCTACTTCCCGAAACCACCTGAAAATGTGAAACATGTGTGGTCACATTGTAATTCACGTTCCTGTTCATGTAACTTATAAAATATTTATGATCTTCATGTTACTTGTAAAACATTTGTGTACTTCCTGTTACTTATAAAACGTTTATGTTATTCTGCATGTTACTTATAAAATCCTTATGTTCCTGTTCATGTTACTTATAAAACATTTTAGAAGATATGTAAAGACACAAAGCAAGATGGGTAAATCCACTCTACCCACCGAAGCCAAGTCCACCTAGACCGCCTTTGCCAAATCCGCCGAAACCATTTCCGAATCCACCGTATCCACCCCCCTTGCCAAATCCAAGTTTTCCTCCGTGGCCAAATCCCCCAGCGCTTCCTGTAAGTATATAAATTATCCATAACATCTAATGGTAACATGTCTCGTATATAAATAAATGGACACGATATTGTTGCAGTCGTTGTACATGAATCAAAAGGAACTTGTATTGGCTTACCATAACTCTTGCTCAGCACAAAAGTGTGTCCTGCCTGACCACCTAGGGTAGAATGATGAGAAAATTACTATCTTGTTCATGCTTCAGAAACACTATAGTAATATATATCATAAATCTGAATACATTGACCTGAGACTTTATGCTTACCATATCCGCCACCAAATCCTCCACCAAGGCCGCCATAGCCACCTAAACCTTTCAAGCCCCCGCCGTATCCACCAAATCCACCAAGACCCAAACCAAGTGGCAGAAAACCACCACCAAGTAGTCCAGCGTAGCAAACACCAGCCATCACCACCACCACCAACATCACTGACAAGGAACGCTGAAAACATAATGTGTTCTCAGTGTTACAAAATATCATTCAATGTATTGTTGTGGCAACTATTGTAAAACTTCTCACTAAGTATATCCTCGTACCATGGCTGTAGAAGTCGAGTGCTTGAGGAGCTGGAGACTGATGGTGAGGGTGTGTGTTCAGGACTTTATATAGGACAAGTGATTCCTCACATTCACTGTAACCTTCAGGACTTGGACCTCCCAAGCGCAGCCATGCTTTTGGTTTGAGTCAGTAAAGAATGCATGTGGAAGGAATTTGCAAATGTTATCAATATTAATGGCGCGTGAAAACCAATATAAAAGAATCAACATTTTGTTGCCACCTGCCAATTAAGATCTATATTCCTGGGCTCATTGTTTAGAGGTTGTTTACAAGGTCGTCACGACTTTATTACGGGATTATTACGAGATTTTTACGTGGTTTCGTCTAGAAGGAAAACTGGGTAGCAATAATAGGTCTATTTCTGCTATACGTGACTTTTTTCCACCAATTACCTGCTCTCAGCAATACTAACACAGACTTTTTCTTGTCATCCAGAAGGACAAAGAAAAAAAAAAGATTTCGAGGTGGGATGAACTACGTTTGTTCGTTGAAAATATTATATGAATCGTTCGCTATTTAAAATGCTTCATACAATAATTATTTTTTTTCAATATTTAGTAATACTATATGAAAAATTATTTTAATTTTTTATGGAAAAGAAACATAGACATTTCCTACATGCATGTCAGAAAATATCCTAGGTCATAAAATTATGATTGTTTAATTTTTCAATATGGTAGAAAACCTACAATTATGTAAGCACCGGTACGCCAACTGCTGCTTAATTACTGATGATTCCCAAATAAAACTGAAAAAAAGAGAGCCCAAGTTAAGTTTGCTCTGTACTAAGTAAAGCTGAATACCGTTCTGAGGTATTTTGAAAGTGACAAGTTACTCGATATTTTCTCTTTAAATAATATATTGTGGGTATAATAGTAAAAGGTGTTTTAACTCTACCTGCACATCAAACGTAAGACCATTAAGAACAATTCTGCACTGTGGTATAGGCCATAAATTTTTCGGGGATACAATATTATCATGGTAGAGTTATCAGATGGTCATGATAACTTTGTGTGTATTTAATCTATAAAGTACATGGCAATCATCAGTGTTCCACTTTTGTTAAATATTGATTTCGTGTTTATATAGTACTGCTTCTTGAAAAAAAAAATTATTTTCGTCAAAATATATTAGAACTTTCTGAAAAGTTTATTAAATGTTTTATGAAGCGTTTAATAACTCAGAAGCATTTGTTTTTGTCAATAAATACTCGAAATATAAAAAATATTTGTAATTAATCCTATCTCAAAATCATATTTTTTTAAGACTTTCAAAATGAAGAAATCTCTTGATTGATCCGTAGTAACAGATCACTGTTGATAATATCAGTAACAGGACGACCCTCGCGTGTTGGCTTTCACGCATCATGAATATTCATATAATTTACTATTTCCCTTCACACGTTACATATAACTTTCTTTACTGAGTCAAACCAGAGGAATGACTACGAGATTCACGTCCTGAAGGTTACTGTGGAAGGGACGAATCACTTGTCCTATATAAAGTCCTAGACACCTGCCCTTACCATCACAATGTCCTGCTCCTACACCACAAGAACAACCACAGAAATGGTACTACTCAATACCTAAACATTACTGGGGACCGATATGGAGGCTTTACATTTGCATCTCCACTTCGATTCCTACACAGCCACAGTGTTACATTTGCTATTCTCACGATGTGTTTAAATTCACATTCCATGTGCAGACAGCGATTGTTTGGCAGTGTTTTTAATATTAATTGAACAATTTTGTTTTCAGAGTTTCTTGTCAGTGATGTTGGTGTTGGTGATGATGGCTGGTGTTTGTTACGCTGGACTACTTGGTGGCGGCTTTTTCCCAATTGGTCTGGGTCTTGGTGGACTTGGTGGATATGGCGGCGGCTTGAATGGTTATGGTGGTTACGGCGGACTTGGTGGAGGATATGGTGGTGGATATGGCAAGTACCAATAAACACTGGATATTATTTACCGATGTAGGATAATTTCACTATGGTGGTAGTTTAAGCATGAATTAACTTAGTAGTAATAATGTTTTCATCCTTCATAGGTGGTAAAGCAGGACACACCTTCGTGCTGAGTAAAAGCCATGGTAAGCCAGCAACAATTAATGCTTTCGTGTCACATGAACAACAACATTTTTGCAAATATTTTGCACGTAAGATCTTTTACATTTTGTACTCATGATTCACCTGTGTGTTTACAGGAAGCCTTGGAGGATTTGGCACTGGTGGGCTTGGTAAATATGGCCTTGGTGGATACGGCGGACATGGATTGGGTGGATTCGGCGGATTTGGCAAAGGTGGATTAGGAGGTCTTGGCTTAGGTGCGTATAGCAGATTCGGCCATCATATTAACGGTCATTTCGCATTTCATTTAATGTTTTTAAAATATCCAAATAAGAACGTGAACAGCAATATGATCACACCGTAACAGGCATTTTATAATTCCAGGTTTTGGAAAATAGGTCGTGTTACGTGTGGTGTCCTGACGAGGTTCATCGCCAATATCTTCAGCCCTTGTCACTAATGTCGGAATTAAATGCCCCCAAAAATACATTTGAGTCCTGTTATTGCCATTATTTTTAGTATCCACTTTATAACGACGTCCTATAATCAATGGAAATAATGGAAATGAGTTTTGAGAGCAGCTGACGTTGAATAATAATAATAATAATAATAATAATAATAATAATAAAATAATAATAATAATAATATATCTTTATTTCTACAAGTACATGTACAAGGTATACAGGCCTAGCTCACATCATTTACATGCTACTATATAGAAAGCTGCTTGTAATGCAAATTAGGTCAATTTTGTCCCGGGATGCGACCCACACCAGTCGACTAACACCCAGGTACCCATTATACCGATAAGTGAACATAGACAGCCGGTGGCCACCAGCCCGGGCCACGGGCCTGGTGGCAAAAGAGAAACAGTAAGTGTGAATTTTAATATACTAAATACTAAATAAAATACACTGAACAAATAAAATACACTAAATAAACTACACTGAATAAACGAAATACACTGAATAAGAAAATAAGAAAGTTTCTGGTCCATTAAGTCCTCATCTAGGAATGCAAAACACACAACAGGAATGCAACACACAATAGAAACGCAACAGACACAACAGAAATACAACACACACAACAGAAATGCAATACACATTATAAAAATGAAACACATAAAAACAGGAATGCAACACTCACAAAATGAATATAAGACACACACAACAGAAATGCAACACACGCAACAGGAATGCAACACACAACAGGAATGCAACACACAACAGAAATGCAGCTCACACAACAGGAATGCAACGCACACAACAGAATGGTGTCACTGTTGTCTCGTGTAAAGGTCAGGAAACAGAGGTGGTTCCTTTCTTTGCTACATCACCATTTAAAGGTCCTAGACAAACAAGACGATAGTCTTGAAATACTGTTAACCTCCCAAGGAGATGCCTTGACGCTTAAGAAGTGCACTTAACCCAGGGAATCAGAGCTGTCCTCCACTTCCTCGTATGAAACTTGATTGCCTCCCATCTCCCAGGCGCTACTTGATCCCCCCTGCGGATTTAGCGTACTCCATTAATATAAAATAAATTAATGTAAATGATTAGGAGACTGATAAACAGTTCTCACGGGTTCGACTCCCGGTCGCAGAATTTGGGTTTGGACATCTGAACGGCCGGGGGCCCAAGAAATCAACACGAGGTGAGCTTGAATTCACCTTGGTAATGGAGCTCAAAATCGTTATTACTTCGTATTATAATTAGGGAGAAATGTTCAGGTAATGGGAAGCATTCAGTGTCAAACCCATGGAAGAGGATGATGAGTCCAGTTCCTCGGATCAAGAGCCCCGGCATCAAAGCACCTTCTTTGAGGGGAGCTAAAACTAACCTTGCAGAACCTTGTGTATAAAAAAAAGTAGATGAGCTTTTTCTTCTTGATCCGAGGGTCTCTGAGCCTGTGGTGAGGAAACACGTAATGAAGAATAAGTCGGGGCTCCAGGTGGCCGCTTAGTCTGCTTCTAGGTAAATCAGTCACTGATCTCCCTGAATGTGGCACCACCCGTACTTCATCCTTACTGTATTGGAGATAGGTGTTAGCCAGTCTAGATACATTTGGAGTATCATATTGTCATATTAATGATAATTTGCATAAATGTATCTATCTCTGCGTAAGATAATCACACGAATACAGTTCTTGTTTGACCCAATTTGGCTTATTAGTCGTTCTCACCTAACCCTGCCCAGGCTACAATTCATTCAACAATTTAATACTAAGGAAATACGATTAAATGTTGAAGTCAATATTAAGAGAAGCGTTTAACCTTTCTACTAGGCGATCAGCTATGGAATCCACCAACACTGCTAGTGAAAAGAGTGAGAATAAAAGTTATTTGCATTAAAATATCTTCTTGTATTGGTTCTAGCAAACTAGTGGGGGAAATATTTTTCCTTCATTAAAGAGGTTTTATTGGATTTGAAGATTCCAAAATCATTGAATTATAAGTTCACTGGAATACCCTTGCAGCCTCTTCAAAGAAACCTAAAGACAATAAAAAAGAATCCGAGATTGGCAGCTCCATAGTGGAAAAAGCAAAGTCACAGCAATGATTAGGAAAATATCTAAGGACAGAGACCACCTTCTGGCTATAAATCTAAAGAAAAGAATGTGAGACGTGAAAAGATCATTGAGATCACCAAGAGAAGCCTCTTGACAGCTACATAGACTAGGTAGTCAGAATTATCTAAGTGAAATCACTAGACGGTATGAAGATTGTATAGGACTACACATGTGCTCTTACAATACCTAACACTAATCTTCACCAAAGTGAACTAGCAAGAGATGGTGTTGCCAATTTCAGGCCTCATGACGAGCTGACCTTGCATCCCAGTAGGATGGGTGATCTTTGGTTATGGGAAAATTACGTACTGAAATTCCTGAAAGTTTTAAGTGAGAAACGTGTCAGGGTAACCAAGGACTCGCGTGTAACCAACTTCCTCTACATGAGATTCAGTGAGGCGATCCAAAGAGGAAATATAGACAGCATCCTAGGTACACGCTATCCTCATTTCTACGTCCACTGACATAATAGCCACAGTCAAATATAAGAAAATTAAAGGGTCTCCAGTTAACACTGGGCAGCGATAATTAGTATTTATTTATATATCTATGCAAGTAAATTACTTGCCAGTTGTATTATCATGTGTCTCTTGAAGTCCAAATAATTGTAGCTGCTACTATCGCTGAACGCTTAACGCTTCATGACCTGAGCTTCGGTAAGATGGGGGAGGAATAAGGAAGGGGAAGAATGGAAATACTGGAAAAGGATGGGAGGGAGGAGGAGAGGAGGCAATAAAGGCAAGAGGCCCAACCACTTCGGCGCAATGTGTACAGATGTTCTGCAGGCATTGATGAAGATGTAGGAGGGTCGTCGGTACTTGGCCCCCCCGAGAGAGGTGTCGAGGGCGAAGGCAGCAAAGAGGCAGGAAAGGCAGAGAATGCACCTACAGGGATGATCTGCACAGTGATGTGTTGGTGGAAAGCTTGTTCAACTATTGTTCCATTTTGGAGAGAGTTGAACTTCGTTCTTGAGAAGTGTCTCACATTAATCGGGTGTATGGTGTCTGTTACAGGATCAGTGAGGGCTTTGGAATATTTCGGTGACGGTGGAGGTGTGTGCAGCGTCATTGGAGAACTTGACAGTCCCATCCTGGAGACGCTGGGCGAGTTCTTGGGCGAGTATTGCGTTGATAAATTGTTTCTTGGTGTAGAATCAAACAGCAGGCGTAGAGATGTATCGAGCTATGGCTCGACGGCCAGCGAGGCCTCTGATTTGTCCGTTGTAGTGGACTTGTGGTACTGGCGTGAGGCAGCCGTGGGCTTTCATTGGTGGTTTCTGAAGTAGAGCAGTGGCGTCTTCTAGTAACAAATTTTGCATGTTATCTGGTGCAGCGAAATTGACGATTTTTGGAATGATCTGCAGAATATCAGCTGATGGAGGACAAGCTGGGAAGGTGAAGGATGGCATGATATTCAAAGCAAAGAGCGGAGACCACACCCAATACGAGTCGCTCTAGTGCACCAGTGGTGGCGGGGTGTGGTTGTGCACTCGCACAGTGGAACTAGTGTGAGAATTAACATGTGTTGTAATTGTGCACCCGAAAGGGACGAAGTTGGCACGAGGCAACATTTCCTTTGTAATGTCACATGAATACTTCATTAAAAACAAGTTTCGATAGAAATTTCTTTTTTCTTTTGGCCCTTTAATTGTCCTGAGAGACTGAGATTCTATAACGTTTTTTATTACATTGTAGCAATTTAGTTTCTTATTTTTTTACAGAATTTAATAATTTTTCTTTGAACTAATGCTAAAACTTCATAGATATTTTTTAATATTTTTTTACTAATATATAGATTAAACTGAACAACCCCCCTCCGTACCTTTGATCTGTTTCGACAGTTTTCTGTTCTCGCTGACCACACAAGTTTTGTTTTCAAATTTTGAATTTGTTCAAACTAAACTATCGTATAATTATACTACCAGCATTTTATTTCAAGGTCTCACCAAATATACTATTTTCATAATTATGGTAGTGATAAATCGATTTCAAAAACACATATTTAAAAGATATATAACACAACGATGATTCTTTTTTTAACACTCACAACTAGAGCAGAAATTTGCTGGACGATTCGCAGCCACAGAACTCAGCTGGCGATACTTTGATGACCCAGGCCCGTGTTGGCCTTCATGCACTATGCATACTCATATCATATACTATTACAATTTCCTTTCACGTGTTGCGTATCATTTTTTATACTGACTCAAACCACAGGCATGGCGGGAAGTTATCCGTCTTGAAGGTTACTGCAGGCGATAGGCGTCATCTGTCATATATAAAGTCCTGGACACCCACTTGTTCCATCATTTTGTCCTGCTCTTCAAGCACTCAACTCCTCCAGATATGGTAAGAGTTTATTCTCAGAGAAGTTGCTCTAAGCTCAGTTGTACAATCATCGTATTAAAATGGTATTCGTTGTCGATACGTTGATGAGTAAAATACATGTGTAACATTCAGGTAACGTTATTGTCTCTCCAGTATTGTAATCACCTCTAAAATTTGACTGATGAAGCGTGCTGCAAAACGTCTCTTAAAAAAGAAAAGGATACCTAATGCTGCACATGTGTCTTATTCATCAAATGGAAACTCACTGTATAACATCTATCTATTTACAATAATGACAGAACCTTTTTATTTTCAGCGTTTTCTGGCAGTGTTGGTGTTGGCGTTGATGGCTGGTGTTTGTTATGGCGGACTCATTGGTGGGGTTTTGCCACTTGGTTTGGGTATTGGCGGCCTTGGTGGATATGGCGGCGGCTACAATGGTTTTGGAGGCTTAGGCGGCTATGGGGGAGGATTTAATGGAGGATATGGTAAGTACGACATCTCTCGAGTATGTCATGTTGAGATTAATGTGTAGTGTGAATATTATGCAGTGAATTCGGGAAGCAGAAATTAGATGACGGTGAGGGTTACCAAAGGTATAATTCAGGTGAGTAGGTGAAGTAGTTTGAACGTTTAACGAGGGTGGAGAAGAGTAGGATGACCAAGAGAGTGAATAATTCGGGGATGGAAGGGTTGCAGTTAGGGGTAAAGGAGGTTTAAGTGCTAGGGGCTTGAACATCCAACAGGCTAGTGAGTGTTTTATGTCGGAGACGATTTTAAGACTTGTGCTATTGGAGTGTCAGCGAGGAAACATTTAAGAGATTCAGGGAAACAAGTTAGCCGAACGTTAATCCTGGAGGGAAGAAGTGTAGTGCCTGCACTCTAAAGTAGGGGTTGGTATGTTGCAGACAGGATTGTCATTTGAACTGTGATGTGTGCACACTTCTGGATGACAGCTATCAAATTAATGATTGTGAAATTCTTTTTTGGGGTTATCCTACCTTTTTAGGAAACTGCCAGAATGGTAGCAACTCACACACACACACACACACACACACACACACACACACACACACACACACACATATATATATATATATATATATATATATATATATATATATATATATATATATATATGTCGTGCTGAATATGTAAAACTGGTCAATTAGCAAGAACTTATTTAAAATTAAGTCCTTTCTGAAATTTTCTTATATACGTTTAGAGATATATATTTTTTCATTAATGTTAATTTAAAAACTTTTAATTTTGCACCAAAAGAATCTTAGAAAACTTACCTAACCTTATTATAAGAAGAGCAATTTATTTTAGCCTAACCCAACTAAATATATTTTAGATTTGTTTACAGTAATTTAATACTAAACAAACAGTGAAATATATTTTTTTCGTTAGGTTCAGCATGATCTTGGCGAAATTACTGCATACACAAATTTTCACTTGTCCTATATGGCAAGATGAGCATTGCTATTTAAGCCAAGATCGCAAGTTCTGCCTATTCGGCACGACATATATATATATATATATATATATATATATATATATATATATATATATATATATATATATATATATATATATATATATAATATATACATATATATATATATTTATATATGTCGTGCCGAATATGTAAAACTGGTCAATTAGCAAGAACTCATTTAAAATTAAGTCCTTTCTAAAATTTTCTCTTATACGTTTAAAGATATATTTTTTTTCATTAATGTTGATATAAAAATTTATAATTTTGCACCAAAAGGAACTTAGAAAACTTACCTAACCTTATTATAACAAGAACAATTTATTTTAGCCTAACCCAACTAAATATATTTTAGATTTGTTTACAAATAATTTAATACTAAACAAACACAGTGAAATATATTTTTTTCGTTATGTTCAGAATGATTTTGGCGACATTATTGCATACACAAATTTTCACTTGTCCTATATGGCAAGATGAGCGTTGCTATTTAAGCCAAGATCGCAAGTTCTGCCTATACGGCAGAGAAAATGTTTGTAAATAATTTCGCCTGTTTGCGAATTGTTAAGCATATATATATATATATATATATATATATATATATATATATATATATATATATATATATATATATAAAACACATCCATAACAACACTGTGCTAGCCAAGGATCCGAACCCATGTTGTACTGGCCTGCCATTGTGAGCGAGAACCACATGACGTCTTAACCCCCAGGACCACCCAATCTTACAAGTACCAAACACACAGCACAGAGCTGTGTGTTTTACCTTGGTCCGAGGAAATGCGGAGGAGTGGGAGCTTTCAAGCTAATTTTCAATAACAACACTGCGCTAGCCAAGGATCCGAACCCATGCTGTACTGGCCCACCACTGTGAGCGAGAAATACATGATGCCATAACCCACAGGTGGTCCTGTGGGTTAAGTAGGATAGTAGAGGGCAACGAGTAACTAGCTCCCTTAAGGTTTACTGTACAAATAGTAGGAGTCTAAGAAACAAGATAGATGAGTTAAGATTATTTGCGAGTGCAGGTAATATAGATATTATTGCTATAAATGAGACCTGGTTCAACTTGAAAGATAGAGAAATGCCTTCTGAATGCAACATACAGGGTTATAAACTATTCCACACTGATAGGGTCAACATGAAGGGTGGTGGAGTGACGATGTATGTCAAAGATAATTTAAATTGTTGTGTTATACATGATATAAGATTAGATAAATCGGACACAGATTCTGTTTGGATACAGTTTCTCGAAGGTCGTGAAAAAATAATTTTGGGTGTGATTTATAGGCCCCCAAACCTTGATAGGGAGTGCGGTAGGCTGCTATGGTACGTCTAGATATGAGAATGTTGTGTTAATGGGAGATTTTAACTTTAGACAAACTGTCTGAAACAACTGGACAGGAAATCTTGAGTCTAGTGACTTTCCTAATACAGTTCAGGATTGCTTTTTAAAACAGTTTATGACAGAACCAACTAGAGGAAACAACCTACTTGACTTGGTTCTTGCCAACAAAGAATCACTAGTTAATAATCTTGATGTTAGTGGTGAGCTAGGGGAAAGCGATCATAAATCACCTAGTTTGATATATCATGGAATTACCCAGATAACTGCAGTCAAGTTGCTGTTCCAGATTTCCGCTTGGCCGACTTCATGGGACTGAAAAATTACCTGGGTGGGTTAAATTGGGACGACCTTACTATGTGTCAGGCAGGTATGGTTGATTGCCAATATAACGTATTTGAGAGCATAGTGCTAGCTGCCCAGAGGACTTTTGTCCCGAGTAGGGATATTAGATTTAACAAAAATGATCTCAAATGGATAAACAATAGATTAAAACATCTCATTGGTCAAAAGAGAGGCATATATAGGCGTATCAGAAGAGGGAAAGGGCAGTTAAGAAACCAATATATTCAATTAAAGAGAGAAATAAAAAAAGGAATAAGAAAAGCAAAAAGGGATTATAAGGCTAAAGTCGCAAGGAATTCGGAGACTAACCAAAAAGGGTTCTTTCAGTTATACAGAAGCAATATTAGGGACAAGATAGGCCTACTTAAGAGTAACTCAGGTCAGATAACTGACAGTGATAAGGAAATGTGTGAACTTTTCTATACCTACTTTCTCTCAGTTTTTTCTCATGAAGATACTAGCGAAATTCCAGAAATAATAAATTATGTAGAACAGGAGGATAATAAACTATGCATGATGAGGGTAACTAGTGACATGGTCCTCAGACAAATAGAGAAATTAAAGCCTAACAAATTCCCAGACCCTGATGAACTGTTTGCAAGGGTTTTAAAGGAATGTAAAGAAGAACTTAGCATAATTTTGGCTAATCTTTTCAATATATCACTACAAACTGGCATACTGCCAGACAAGCAGGAGATGGCAAATGTAATACCCAGTTACAAATCAGGTTACAAGTCCTTAACTTGACTTAAGAATCGTAATGACACGATTGCAAACAAACCATACCCCCGGCCGGGATTGAACCCGCGGTCATAGAGTCTCAAAACTCCAGCCCGTCGCGTTAGCCACTAGACCAGCTAGCCACCAGCTAGCTAGAACTCATTTATAATTAAGTCCTTTCTGAAATTTTCTCTTATAGGTTTAAAGATATATTTTTTTCATTAATGATGATGTAAAAAATTTAAATTTTGCACCCAAAGAATAAATATATATATATATAATATATATATATATATATATATATATATATATAATATATATATAATAAATATATATCGTGCCGAATAGGCAGAACTTTTCTATTCTATTTGATTTGCCGGTATGGATCCCGGCCCGGGTCTCTTCCAATTTGGTGACCCGGCATTGGCTACCCGGGTAAGGAAGTGTCGTTTAGCTTTTCTTGTACATGCGTGGCAGTTCTTCAGCGGGAAGGGAGGGATACCTCTCCGGCTCTATGGCTAAGTGACATACCAAAAGTTAGTATGCACTAATGGCTGCTGGTGTGCGGTGCAATGGAGGCCCAAAGCAGGCCTGCACAGTGACTTCAGCGGGGGAGGCAGGTGACATGCAATGACCGGGAGTAAGGTTTCCAGGTCCCTGACAGCTAAGTACACAAGATGTGCTGCCTCATCCTCCCGGGCTTGCCCCACTGGGGTCATTGGGAAGTGTCTACGGCGAAGGGGCATCGTAGCCGGGCAATCTAACAGGTAGTGCACCAAGGGTTTCAGAACCATTTGGTCACAATGGCCACAGAGCTCCTCTCGTGCCCATTCAACAATCTGCGCAGTGGTGGGATACCCTAAGCATAGACGGTGGATATGCACCCTCAGTTCTCTGGATTGCATCCGAATACTTGGAGGGGGTGCCCTGTGGGTTGCCCTGACATACCAGCGGAGGCTCTGTGAATCTCCAGGTTCAGGGAGTGGGCGACTGGCTGCACCGGCAGCCCACAGCGCAATCTGGCTGAGGCTGATGGAAATTGCAGCACGTGGCTGTGCCTCGAGGGTAGCAGTCCTTGCAGCCTCGTCTGCGGCATCATTGCCAGGGATACCCACATGGCTTGGGATCCAGTTGACGGTGGCCCTGCGAGCCTGGGCCATGAGCGTCTGCAGGTCACCCTGGATGGATGTGATTAAGCGTATGTTGTCCCTTGGCTCTTTGTGCATAATTGCTTGGATCGCTGCCTTGGAATCAACATGGATGACGGGGGAATGCTGATGGTCTGCAAGAGCATCCTGCAAAGCTTGTTGGATGGCAAAGAGTTCAGCCTGGAGGATGGTGCAATGGTCCGGGAGGTGCCAATCTGCTGTCAGATTGCTTTGGAATATCCCAGCAGCTGTACGGCCTGCCACTGGGTCTCTGGAGCCATCAGTGTAATAGGGCACACACCCTGGGCCTTCCGCACCCACATTGCTAGTTGAGGCAAGTCGTTGCAGAATGTGCTGGGGGCAATGCCTCTTGCTGTCTGGTAGGGTTGCCCAGCACACTGCCAACAGCTC